CCTTGCACTTGGCTTGGTTAAACTTCATGAAACATGCAATAAAGATAAATGGGGTTTTCTTTTCTTTTTTTTCCAGGAGAAAAGTATCCCTTGTTCTGAGACTTTCTCTATGAGTAAGACTCTTGGTGACCCAATAAAAATAAGAGCGTGGAATATTGCTGGTTTGCCAACTGATACATTTTCTGTAGACAATGGGGTCATTGTTGACAATTCAAGACGTTGGTAGGTGACGAAAAGGTTTAATTTTCAAATCCAAACAAGGTTTCACATCTTTATTTTTTAAAGCAAAGTAAGCATCTAGGAACAATGGAGCTTCTGTAGAGACAATGTAGTTGAAAGCAGGAGTGGAATCTTTATACTGAGCTCCTGTGAAATTTAAGAGGTATAATGCTTTAGAGTTCTGTGTATGTAGTTCCTTGAAAGGTTTCCTTGCAGGTGATGCTGTGCTCCTGGATAAACGGTTGTTTTTGTTTGTGGGTGTTTGTTTGTTTGGGTTTTTTTAATATTATACCTTGTCATCCTATTAGTAGCTAATAAATTTGTAAGAAACAGTTCTAGAGCTGCACAGAAATCCTCATTATTTGCATGTTTAACGATTGGATTCAGGTTATGTAAATTGCAGGGTCCAGATACCACTGTCCACTTCAGGTTCTTACAGCTATCGTGCTCTCAGATGACATTTTTATGTTGTATAGATATTTATTGTGTGTGAAACTCACATCTATATAAAGGATTCTTTTAGGACCATTAACAAGTTTTTTTATTCTAATTGAAATTTTACTTCAGAGGTTATACCTATTACGTTATATGAAAACTTGACAGCTGTCTGCAAATAATTTGCAGTCAGTAGAAATATAAGATTATAAAACTTTCCAGTGATGTTCTTGTGATCTGTGTTTTCTTAAGAATTAGTCTTTGTGGTAGACTCAGATTATATTCAGATTACAGTGTGTAATTCCATTTTTAGTTGCTTAGTTCTCTCAGGGTGCGTTAGAGGATGCTTTTGATGTCATTCATGCCTGACTTACTAAATACATACATATAGGTGAAATCAGCAAGTGCAAAGGGGGACAAATCTCTTGAACAAAGTTAAAATATTGTCGCCTTTCCCTGCCCCACTTACATTTCCAATGTTTCACTACCTGAAATACCAACATCTCAGATTTAAACCACAACTAATTGTTGATTTTTTTTTTTGGGGGGTGAAAAAATACATGAAAAAGCTCAAAATTTGTTAAAAAAAAAATCTAAATACTGAAATTCCTGGGGAGAGGCAGAACAAGATTTTACAAAAATTCTACTTTCTGGCGTATTTTGTGAAAAAAGTTGTGAACATCATTTGCAAGTCTTAAAACTATTTTTGATATTACCTATCAAATTATGATGAAACACCTGTACATCTGTTTTTTACTGATCTCTTCAAGTAACAGAATCAAAATTATATTCCTGAACCAGGAACATTTTAAACTAGTTTAAAATTCTGAAAAAACATGTGTTGTATGTTCCAGGCCATTAATGATTGATCCTCAAGGTCAAGCAAATAAATGGATCAAGAATTTTGAGAAGGAAAATCATCTGAATGTTATCAAGGTCACTGACACAGATTATATGAGAACTGTGGAGAACTGCATTCAGTTTGGAAATCCACTTCTGCTAGAAAATGTTGGGGAAGAACTAGACCCATCACTTGACCCTGTGCTACTAAAACAGACTTTTAAACAAGGTACAGCAAAATTAACTTTTAACCCTGAAGTAGATTACATTAATTTTCACCTTACAGCCTATGGTACCATCTGATATTTCTTATGTTACTCTCTGGTTGACGGCTGCCTGGGGTAAGAGGAAGGTAATTTCACAACAGCCTGAAGGTTTATTTTTTAAGAAACATTCATATGTTACATGATAGTGGTTTTGTATGAAAACCTTCACCATGTCACTCCAGGAGACTAAATAAACACACTTGACAGGAAAGGGAAGATTGTCAATGAAATTACATTTTGCTTGTTCATTTTCATGTGTTTTAGTCTAATAAATTTTGCACAAATCAAGAAAAGCTGTCAAGGCATTCTGCTTAAGGTACAATTTTCCTGTGTTTCCCTGAAACTTGCTAAGTAGCTAGGAATTTGGTTTTCAACTTTTCTTTCTTTTCCTCCTGGAAAAAGACAAGAAAATGTAGATAAGCACAAACACTTTTTATTTCCTTCTTATGAAATTTATCTTTACTGGTTTTCATCGTAAGAGAAAAAAGCTGAAACACTTTCTCTTACTTTCTCTTTTTTTGAGTTTCCTAGTTTCCTGTTTCAGACAGGTAATTCAAAGAAAGTAGTCTGTAAGAATATCATATTTGAGCATAATTCCATGGTGCTCTATTACCATCTTCAGCATTGTAAGTACAGTAATAATTATATGACACAATTTCATCTGCTAAGAGTAGAATGTGGCCTCACGGGAGTCTGTGAGAATTTTTCAGAGTATCAAATTTATTTATTTATTGACTTTTACTTTTCAGGAAATCTGTCATTGACAGGAAAGTTGCTTTTACTTAATCACAAATGTGTGGAGTGTTTTCAGGAAGTAATTGAAGTAGATAATGTTTTTCTTAACATTTCTCAACTTCAGGAGGCATGGAGTTTATCAGTCTTGGTGAGGCTGTTATTGAGTATTCCAGTGATTTCAAGTTTTTTATTACCACAAAACTGAGAAATCCACATTATCTGCCTGAAATTTCTACAAAAGTTTCTTTACTCAACTTTATGATAACACCAGAGGGGCTTGAAGAACAGTTGTTGGGAATTGTTGTAGCGAAAGAGAGGTAAGTTTTTCCTTATGGCAAATAGCTGTGAAAATTTTTTGTGGTATAATTCCAAGGAAATGAGAGATGAATTTATTATGAAGAAAAATATATGGTACCTAGTCTAAGTGTTGCTCAGGAACAGCTTTTTTTTTTTAAAAAAAAAAAAAAAAAACAAAAAAACAGAAAGAAAGGTTGTTTTTCTAGTGTTTGTATCTGAAAAGTTTGTTAGGGAAACAGATTGTCATGTTTACTGTGGGAAAGTGTCCACCATTTAATTAAAGCAGCAGATGTAAAAAATGATGTAAAATCATGGCCATTTTCTCCTGAAATACTTCTTTAATGTTAGAAAATGGTGTAAATATTATTTGAAGTTTAAATGATTATTGTTTCGGGTTTTTTCCATGTGACTGAGCTGCCAGACAAGAATGCAGAATTATGAGGATTTAGTTTTCATTTCCTAAGAAGTAAATGCACAGTACCTCTGAAACTGGTTAGGGGCCTTATCTGAATCCTCACAGAAACACAAAGAAGTAGTATCTGGGTTTTACAGAAATTTACAGAAATTTTTATGCAATTGGGCTAAACTCTGTTTGCTAAAAAAGCATTTCCAGCAATAAACTGGACATGGTTTTATTTCAGGCAGCAGGGATATAATGAAGGTTAACTAGGACATGCTGACATTTGCAAAATGCTGATGTTAAAGTTTCATTTCTAAATACTGAACTCAAGTTACGCAAAGAATCTATACTCAGAGTTGTACATATATGCTGAACAGCAACAATCTGTTTAAACTGAAGACAATATTCACAGATGCTTATCGTAGGAAGAGGGAGTCGTCTTTATGGGCTTCCTTTACAGTCAGTGGAAGAGGAGCATTGACTGGTTTTGCTGTATGTGTTTTTCTTTGTTAGACGAGAATTAGAAGAGGAAAGAAATGCTCTTATCCTTCAGTCTGCAGCCAATAAAAAGCATTTAAAAGAAATTGAGAGGAAAATTTTAGAAACATTACAGTCATCTGAAGGGAATATTCTGGAAGATGAGTCTGCTATCCAGGTCTTGGATTCTGCTAAAGTAATGGCTAATGAGATCACAAAGAAGCAGCAGGTAAGGAATGTGTATGTGTGCTTTCCTTAACAATAGGTAAAATTAAATGTTAAAATGCGCAGCTAGTAGAAGCTCTGCGAATTAGATGCAAAGTGTAAGGAGGAAATTCTGTGCTTGTGAACTGTGAAGAGAAATAAAATTGGATCCATTGTAGAATCTTTACTCATGTTTTTTTCAGTCTTCAATTAAAAATATTTTGAAGAATGTGTATCTATCTAGAAGTACTGAGTGAGAAGTAAATTCTGAAGTGAAGGTGACATGTTAAGATAAATAAAGTAACCTTTAAACAAAAAAAACCAAAACAAAACTATTCTGGGGGGCATTAATAATCCAGGTGACTGACATAAGTACGCAAGTGCAGAGTCTTCTGTTTTACTCAATGCAGAAAATACCAGCTGAAGTCAAAGAGAGCTAAATGACATTGGTAAGAGAATAATGATTATTTTGCTTTGCATTTTTTAAATTACTATAGACTTAAGAGAAATCAAATATTAGTGTTTTCTTTAAGCTGATGTTGGCCCTACTGCTGTTTGCCAACAGCTATCAAATGTAATCTCAGAATTTGTCTGATGGTCAAATTTTGAAAAACCTTTTTATATTCAAAGTATTATTTTGTATAAAGCTGATTTGCAGTAGAATAAGTAGACCTTATACACATAACCAATATGAAATAAGTCATGTGTTTGAATATTGCAGAGATAGATTGGTACTTTTGATGCTAAATGATGCATCAAAACTTTTGTGCCTCCTTTGTCCTTTGCTTTGACTACAATTGCATCCTGGAGTACAGGTGTAGATCAGGCAGTACTGTGTTAGGGGCAAATACTCATTTTACCTAGTGTAGTCACTACCTGCTGTGACTGTGCCTTCTGGAACATGAAAGTTATCTTGCTCTGGTGTTATAAAGTGCTGCATAGAATTATTTTAATAATGTCATTAAGTACGAATATTTTCGTATAAGGAATATTGAAAGCTCTTCTTTATCCACTACTATTGATACTTAGGTTGCAGAGAAAACAGAACTTAAAATAGCTGAATCCCGAGAAGGCTATCGACCTGTTGCAAAGCATTCGTCGGTGCTGTTCTTTAGTATTGCAGACTTGGCAAACATTGATCCCATGTACCAGTACTCTCTCAGTTGGTTTGTTAACCTCTTCATAAAGTCTATTCATGATAGGTAAATACAGTATTTCTGGGGGTTTTTATTCTCTTCTTACGAACAGTTCTCTCCATTCTGAAACCTTTTACCTCTTAGTCCTCCTTAAATGCAGGCTTTTGAAAGAAGGTACGATTTGTTCATGAAGTAAATGCTCTTTTAGTTACTGTTTGAGCAAATAATGAACTGTCAGCATGTGCTTTATTTAAGAATGTGACTTATAGAAAGGGTGAAGTCTGGTTCTGAACTAGGCTCCAGTATGAACACTGAGTGCCGCCACCTAACTGAATTGATTTCAGCTCACTATTTCACTTGAGTCTTCTAAAAGAACTGTAAAATGTAGAGTGTAATTGAAATTTTGGGGAAATGGGCATCTTAAGTCCCTTGTGGAGCCTGTATGTCTAATATAATTCCTCCACAACCCTAAATAGCTTTAGATTTCTTAACAGATTGCCTAAGTCATTACATTTGAAGTCTCAGTTTCTCACTTTTCTTTTTAGTAACAAATCCAAAATTTTGGAGAAGCGACTTCGGTATCTCAATGACCACTTCACATACAATTTGTATTGCAACGTGTGTCGTTCACTGTTTGAAAAGGACAAGCTCCTCTTCTCGTTTTTGCTGTGTTGTAATGTTCTTATGTAAGCCCACTTTTGTGAAGTCTTTTAATAACATAAACTAGTGATTTTATTATCATAGAAAAAGGTATTGATGAGGTATATTCTTGTGCATATTGATAATGCCTTTGGAGAAAGGTCATGAATGTTTGGGGTTTTCTAATAGTGATAATACTTACAAGTGAAAGAGTATGCGAGTGCATATCTTGCTAGTACCATACACATTATGAAAAGAATCATCCTATGCTCATTTAAATCTGTGGTTTTTCCAGTGATACATCTTTCACTCCCTTTAAAGGACCTGGGTAGTGCCACATAGCTTCCTTATGTCAAGACTAATTGCTGGGGGTTTGTAATTTTGTATTAATACATTGTGAAATGAAAGATAAGTTCAAAATTGGGCCTACAGAAAGTCTGGAGAGGGACATTTTACAAGGGCATGTAGTGACAGGATAAGGGGAATGGCTTTAAGGTGACAGAGGGGAGATTAAGATTAGATATTAGGAAAAAATTCTTCACTATGAGGGTGGTGAGACACTGTCACAGGGTGCCCAGAGAAGCTGTGGCTGCCCCATCCCTGGCAGTGTTCAAGGCCAGGTTGGACACAGGGGCTTGGAGCAACCTGCTCTAGTGGAAGGTGTCCCTGCCCATGGCAGGGGGTTGGGATTGGATGAGCTTTAAGGTCCCTTCCAACCCAAACCATTTTATGATTCTATGAAAATTGCACAGTAACAACCATAATGTGCATACTTACTCAATTACAATGTGTATGCACTGCCCAGGGAGGTGGTGGAGTCACCGTCCCTGGAGGCATGTAAAAGACATGTAGATGTGGGACTTGAGGACATGGTTTGGTGGTGGACTTGGCAGTGCTGGGTTAATGGCTGGACTCAATGATCTTAAAGGTCTTTTTCAACCTAAATAGTTCTATGGTTGTATGATTTACCTCCCAAAGTCCTTACTATAAGCTTAAGCAAGTATTTTTACCATACAGTTTTTTAACTATATAGAATATTGAGATCTGATCTCAGCTGTTATTGAAGTATTACAAAATAGCAATGAACTGTAATTAATTTTAAACAACCCTTTATATGATGTAAAATTGTATCTCAGTAACTATTATCCATCTCTTTTTTAATATAGGGCTAGAAATGAAATAGAGCATCAGGAGTTTATGTTCTTACTAACTGGGGGTGTGGGTCTCAAGAATATCTACAAGAATCCAGATCCATCTTGGCTATCAGATAAGAGCTGGGATGAATTATGTCGTGCAAGTGAAATCCCAGCTTTGAAAGAACTAAGGTATAATAAAATGTTGATGTGAATAGCTTTAATTGGTTTTGACCAAAATATGTGTAACATGCTGAAAGAAATGTTTCCTATACTTTTTCCAGACCACCAACATAGTAAAACCGTGCTCTTTTTTCATCATCAGGTCTGTTTCATTTAAATAAGTCTAACAGCCAGATCACTAATTATAATATTATTTAATGAAGCTACTTTCCAAAGTAATTTGAGGCATTCCCTGAATAAAATCTTCTTTTGGAACACCTCCATTAGTAGAGAAACAGTTTTTCAAGGTGGTCAGTGGAGGCCGAGGGAAGTATATGTAACAAAATTCCACTGCAGAGCTGGGAGAGGAAGTGGGAAAATTTCACTCTGAATTTAAATAGTTCTTAACTCTAAATTTTGGAGCCAGCATGGCTGCAAAAGTCTTGCATATAAATAGCTGACATAGCCTGAATATTTGGAGGATTCAGATCTGACTGTGGAAACACTGATCTGTTAGAAGAAATTATTTGGGGCTGGTTTGTGTTTCTCTCCCTTTGGAGTTTTAGTACCAATGTGGATGATGATCCATCCTTTAAATAGTCTGAGAGTTGCCCCATTGCAGGGAACATCCGCTGCATGTAGTGTGAAGGAAAATTGTTTTTTCCCCTGGTTGAATTTCCTGTTAATTTTCTTTGGTTAAACAGTGGAGTTTTCCTGCAATATGAGAGGCAGAAAATTCACCCAGGCCTAGGAAGGTCCAAGCCGTGCTGGCTGGAGGCATAGGCAGAACTTAACTGTCAACTCTGAACCTTTCAAGTGGAGTCTTGTATGTCTGCCACAGCATGTCAGGAAAAGATTTTTTCGCTCTTTAACACAGAGAAGCTCAACTGTAGCATTATTTGCTGATTGATGTAGATGTGGAGTGGCTTGTGTGACAATACAATAGAACTGGTTTTTAAAGAACAACAGAAAACAGACTCCAGGTATTTAAAGTACTTGTAAGTGCTTTTTTTCTTTTTTCCTGTAGGAGCCACATCTCTGAAAATGTAGGTGAATGGCAAAAAATTTATGACAGCAAAGAGCCACAAAGCTTTCCATTACCAGAACAATTGAATAATACATTAAATGAATTGCAGAAGATTATAATTCTTCGGTGCTTAAGACCAGATAAGGTAAAATGACCTGTTATCAAGTGTTTGCAGACTGTTCCTTTGTTTGCACTTACTATTAAAATAACTAATCTGTTCTTCACCATACTTTATTAAAAAAAATAAGTGCTATTTGTATTTTTCAATTGAGAAATATAAACACCACAACCATCAGTTGAGGAGTTTTGTCTGACATGATTTAATGCGTCTTTGAGGGTATATTCATTGTAGTTTTCAAAGTGCTGCTTCATGTTTAGCCTGTTTGCTAGTGCACCCAATGTACTTGAGAGCAGGATATATTAGCCTAAACAAGTACATAGAGTATCTAGTACCACATGCTTTCTTACAAAGGATTTCAAGGCAAAGAGAGATAAAATGTGTTGATCTGAACAGCCAAGGTGAACTTTTAACACATTCTGCCTTTGGTGCACATAGAAAATTGTATTGTATATACTTGAGGAACAATCAGCGTTAGGATTCAAAGTACATATTACAATTGCTCCTTAAAATTAATTAAAAATAATTACATTCCTCTTTACTAAGGGATAATGTGCTGGTCCTCTACGTCAGGTAAAGCCTGAATTAAAGTTGTAATGTAATGTAATATTGTTTATATGCCATATGTTATTTTTTATTTTCAATAAGCATTATTATTCCTCTTCTAAGGAAAAAAAATAGAGGGGGAGGTGTCAACAAAAGGTGAAACCTTTGCTTCTGAAGCATTATGCAGGAATGGAGGGGTATCTGTAGGCTCAGGAGTTTAACATAATTACATACATTTATATAAGTACATAAAAGATGCTGTCAAACATGCAGTTATGTTTATATTAATGGTTTGTGTTTACTTTTTTACCAGATTGGTCCAGCTATAACAACATTTGTAACTGATAATCTGGGGAAGAAATTTGTAGAGCCACCACCTTTTGATCTAGCAAAAAGTTACTTAGATTCACGTTCTACAGTCCCTTTAATATTTGTGCTATCTCCAGGAGCAGATCCCATGACTAGTAAGTATACACAGACACAGAAAACAAAAATATAGTACAGCTGTTCAGACTGGAGACCTGAAATTCCCCTGCAATACATAGTGAGGATTATTTTGCACTTTCTGCAAGTAGATTTGAGAGCATTATCCTGTGCTCCCTAAAAATGGGAGTGGTATTTTAAACTGAATCAACTCTACTCTCTACATCAATGCTACACCATCCTGTTGTATGTGCATTTAAAAAAAAATAGTAATACACATTTTAAAATACCATTTTTTCCTGACATAACTTCTTTTTAATGAAGAAATGCTAAAATCTTACACTTTCTATTCAAGGCCTCCTGAAATTGGCAAATGACAGAGATATGGTTGGAGATAAGTTTCAGTCCATTTCATTAGGACAAGGACAAGGACCTATAGCTACAAAAATGATTGAAGAAGGAATGGAAGAAGGAACCTGGGTTTGTTTACAAAACTGCCATTTAGCTGTCTCCTGGATGCCGATGCTGGAGAAAATATGTGAAGAGTTTAGCAATGACAGATGTCATCCAGACTTCAGACTCTGGCTTACCAGTTACCCTTCACCCAAGGTACAAGCATTGCCAAGCATTCTGTATTTGGGGAAAGGAAAAGTTGATGACGTTTTTAGGAAATAACCATATCCCTGAATCAGCTGATAATACAGAATCTCTCTGAAGTACAGTGAGGCTGCTGAAGAGATAATTTAACCAAAAAAGCACATTTTAAAAATAAATATATACATAATAATATCAAACTTCCTTTGTAATATGTTGATATTGTGATCTGTGATATTTTGTGTGCTACTGAATGGAGCTGCATTTTACCAGCATATATAATTAAGAAGTTTTTTTGCTGTCACCAAGGTTTTCTTTCACATAAATTAAAAAATTCAATTTTGCATTTCATTTTTAGGTGTTGAATACCAAGAAAACATTTTAAAGCATAAGCTTATTGTTTACAGCAAGGCTTTACTCTCCTGATGCCTTTGAGAATATTTTGACTAGCTGTCGATGTTTAAAATGTAATTTTTTACCAATAATTGTTAATATAACAAACATGTTACAACAGTATAGCATCTATTCCATACTTTCTGAAGGCAATTTTGCTATTTTTTATTTCTAGTTTCCAGTAACCATTCTGCAGAATGGAGTGAAGATGACAAATGAACCTCCTACTGGTCTTCGGTTAAACCTACTCCAGTCATTCCTTTCTGATCCCATTTCTGATCCTGCATTCTTTGCTGGATGCCCTGAAAAGGAGCTGGTAATATGCCTATCTCTTGACAGTTTTATTCTTTCTTTCTTTTTATGCACAGGTATATGATTTGTGTCCAGTGAATATTATAAGCTAAACTTTTTCTATGGTTGTGAGTTTAGGTTTTACAATGATGAAGTGGATTAGTTGAGAATTACTCTTCCAAGTAATTTCATGTGAAAATACTTAAAATGTTTTCTTAGACTTTATTAAATTGCATACAGATTCACAATGTACATAAACCCTGAATGCCTACCATTAGTAGGGCATACCTATCATTATTGACATGGTAAACACTGAGATCTTTTCCTGCTACCAGGGACCAGTAGTGCAGTGCCCATATGTCTTACTGGTGATTAACTATTTAACTAAGCTTTACTTGTGAAAGAACTGAAAAAAAGAGGGTTTACTCAGAAATATGTGTATGGTAATCAATATACACAGGTGTAAGTGGATGCATCTAAGGACTTACATTAAATACATCTGTATTTTATGTTTGTCTAATGAGTCTTAAAAGTAAATATCTGGTGCTATTTGAATTCTTATGAAGTCAGCTGCCCTTTACATGAAGGAAGAGAAAAATCTGTGTAACCTTACTTGAGGAACTAGCTAAATGTGCTTGCAAATGTGGCAACTATGTTCATATTTGTTTCCAAGTCAAATAACCACAGCATACTTAATAGTTGTCTGTAGCTGTACCTTACACCGAGAGTGGTAAGCAAATGATGTGTTCTCTATACAAGTTATAGACTAGCATGAGCATATAGGCTAGTTAATCATACTTTTTTGCTTTGTATTTCCCAAAGGTATGGGAGAAACTGCTCTTTGGAGTTTGTTTTTTCCATGCTCTTGTTCAGGAGAGAAGAAAATTTGGGCCTCTTGGTTGGAATATACCCTATGGATTTAATGAATCAGACTTGCGAATCAGTATCAGACAGCTGCAGGTAAAATCATCTATTGCTCCCTTTAGCTCTGATCTTCTGAAGCGTGGCTGGTCAAAAGGAGCAATGCTTTTAAGTTACATCAAACATTCACAGCTTTTCATGACTTCAGCTACAAAGGCAAGGAATGCCAACCATACGAATATTTTCAAAATAGCAAATGAAATAAAATTTAAAATTGTTCTTCATGGTATTTAGATTCATACAGATGTATGGAATATAATGAATATATATGAGTATGATAAGAGTTGAAATTGTTGTGTATAAGGGCTCACTGTGCTTTAAGTAATACCATGTCAGTGACAGTCACCTGCTCTGGCAGGTTTTGTTATTAGTAGGATGAATTTTTTTGCTTATATACTGTTAATTAAACAGAATCTCAGACTATTCTTCTTCCCTAAAATGAAATGCTGAACAGTATTTGACCTTAAGTCTACTGCAGGCCCTGTGTAGAAAAGTCAGGAGAGCTAAAACTGTGAATTACTGAAGCTGAGGCTGAACACTTGCAAAGTTATTGAGAAGCTAATGAAAGAGATCAGAGGATTCTGAAGATTGAAAGAAAAATTATGTGAACTGCACATTTCTTTATGACACAGAAAAGCATCCATCTAGGAAATTTAGACTGGAGAAACTATCCTCTTGTAAATAATTCAAGAATTACTTGGATCACTCACTAATTTGAATATTCATAAGAGGCTTTTAGTAGTAACTTCTCTTGATTTTGAACAATTATTTTTACCCAAAAAAAAGATTTCAGAATTAGAATTTCCAACACTCGGGGAGAAAAATCCATACTCTGCAGTTTTGCATGCACTATCACTTCCAGCCCTTTACTCTATAGGTCACACTGTTGTTCTGCAGATATTTCAAGTCTCTGGAATTACTCATGTCTTCTGTTTCAGTTATTCATAAATGAATATAGTGAAGTTCCTTTTGAAGCTATATCTTACCTAACTGGTGAGTGCAACTATGGAGGTCGAGTGACAGATGACTGGGACAGACGTTTGCTGCTGACAATGCTGGATGACTTCTATAACCCAGATATAATTGAAAATCCTCGTTACACTTTTTCTCCCAGTGGCCAGTATTTTGCTCCACCAAAAGGCACATATGAGGACTACATTGAGTTTATTAAGGTAAAATGTAGCAACAAGATTTTGAATTATATGTTATAGTGATAATGAGCTAAGAAAACAATCCTTAGAGGCTTCTTTGCATTAAAGAGGTAGTTTTGCAGCATGTTAAACTGTGCTTGGCTTCTTGCCTAACATCCTTGTGTAATCCTTGCTATGATCTAGAATGCTTCTGAGGGGGAGAGGGAATCAGTCAGCACATAGAAGGACCTAGCATAGTATTTATTGGAAATGGCTGTCTGTAAGTGAGGTGATGGCTGTCACCAGTAATACTGTCTGCAAATACCTACCACTAAGGTCCTTATCCACCTTCAGATGAAGTCAGTGGTAGTTTTTCACTTGACTTCTTAAAGAAGCCTTGGATCTGATTCCTAGTATGCTGCTTTATCTCATGCAAATATTTATTTTTCCCTAGCATCTTCCCTTTAGTCAGCATCCAGAGGTATTTGGTTTGCATGAAAATGTGGATATTTCAAAAGACCTTCAGCAAACTAAGATCCTCTTTGAATCTCTGCTTTTAACACAAGGAAAAGGCACTCAGGGAACTTCTGGAGGTGGTGACAGCACTCTCTATGAAATTGCAGATGATATTCTCAACAAGGTATCGTGTTATACCAATGACTGCAGTGTATCTTTTTACAAAGCAGAAATTCTTTAACTAGAATCCCAGTGTCGAGTTCATTTCATGTAGGAGAAAAAACCTTCTGGGAGGAATTTAGTGCAGTATGAAAGTAAGAACTTATGAGGCTGTAACAGACCACTGCTATATTTCGGTTGAAAGAAGTGTTATTAAATAGGTAAGAGATAAGGGACAGAGAAATAAAACAGAGCAAATGCAACTTGGAAGAAGCTGATTCATTCATGTCAACAAGTTTAAAATTAATAAAATTGAAATGTATTATAACTTTCCATGGTATGAAAAATTCTAGGTGGTTTTGAAAAGATAAACATTAAAAAGAAATATTTGGTTTTTTTCAGAATGAACTATTAAATACTGCATTGGTAAGATACTCATCAGGAAGTTGAATGGTGTCTATTACTGTGCAATTTTCCACATCTGCACACTTTTGATGTGATTCCGATGCATGATCATATATGGAATGAGTTCTAAATATGTTGTCATTTACAGCTTCCAAATGATTTTGACATTGAAAGTTGCCTGAATAAATATCCTGTGAGATATGAAGAAAGTATGAACACTGTGTTGGTACAAGAAATGGAAAGATTTAACAAGTAAGGGGAATATATTTTATCACATGTAACTGAAATAATTCCATTTGCAGAAAATGTTTTCCAGCGAATCAGCCACTGTAAACCCCATGGTGTATGAAATCTTTATTTATTGTGTTCCCTTCTGATTGTCTGCAGTCCAAGCACTGTTACTGCTTGTAGAAAGTCAGAATGTAGTATAGATGGCAGGAAAAATGACCTAGTGGCAAAGTGAACTGAAAGAGAAAAAAACATGATAATGGAGGGAGTCTGAGGAGGCACTTGGAAAAGAAAATGTGAACAATATTTTTATGTTCTTTTCTTTTTAACTTCACTTTCTCTTCCCCCATCTCTATATTCAGTTATGTTTTATTTTCTTTGTATTTCTGACCTATAGGATAAAGGGATTAGAAACTGTAATGCACACACAGTTATAGTTTATGAAACCTTTTCCTTGATAGTTGGACATATTTCTGCTTCTTTGTCTCATTTGTTTCTGTTTTAAAATTTTCCTCTTTTTTTTCTCCTTTCCTGATGCCTTTATTCCTCTACCTTATTTTCACAATTATTCTCCTAAGATTACAAACCTATAATCACTTTTATTTTTTTCTTTGGGTCCCCAGTTTCTCTTTTGACTTTGTTTCCTTATTTTCTTTCTTACCTTCACCTGCTCATCCATTCTTTCTTCCCTGTTTTTCTCTGTCCTCCTCATTTTCTATTTGTCTTTTCATGTCTCCCACTTCATTTTCAACCAAACTTTCAATACTGCTCCCTGGCCTTCAGTCTTCAAGTTTTGCTTTTTTTGCAGACTCTTCTCTCCTTTTGTAATCTAAACCTTTTTTTCATCTAGTATAGGTGTATACATTTGGAATTCCAAATTTATCTTCTTACCAAACAATGAAGAGTATATCAGAGATAACAAAATGATTTATTAAACTGTTCCTAGTCTTAAATAAATTGTCACAAATCTATGACTTTATGGATGCGGTTAATTATGCAGTTACGTAGCAGCTGTACAGGTTCTATAGATGGTTCTATAATGCAGTTTTTTCTCTTTTTGTTCCCAGTGAGGATGTCGTGTTTTACAAATCAGCAAAATGTGTGAGGATTTTGTTTTATTTTTTTTAATTGTAGTTTAATCCGCACTATTCGTGTTACACTCGTTAACCTGAAGAAAGCCATTAAAGGACTGGTTGTTATGGATGCTGAACTGGAGGCTCTGTGTAGCAGTCTACTCATCGGAAAAGTTCCTGAGAAGTGGGCAAACCATTCATACCCAAGTCTAAAACCACTAGGGAGCTATATTCTAGATTTTCTAGAAAGGCTGAAATTTTTGCAGGTACGGTACAAGAGACAGTGCTGCCAATGGTTTCATTTACTTTTTCATATACTTTGTCCTTTGCGTTAAAGGAGTACTGGGGAAGGAGTGATAGACTTGGCTTAGATTTTCAGAGCACAGTTATGTGGAAAATGGACAAACAATATGGGATTTGTCTCTGATTACTGACTGTGTCATTTTCCTCTTTCCAGAATTGGTACCAGTTAGGGAAGCCCGTGGTTTTTTGGCTGTCAGGATTCTATTTTACTCAAGCTTTCTTAACTGGAGCTATGCAAAACTATGCTAGGAAGCACAAGATCCCTATTGACCTTCTGGGATATGAATTTCAGGTAGAGATAAATTATAAATGTATATTTTATTTATGAGTCCTGATGTTGCGGTGAGACATAGTAAGTAAATCGTGACTTCAAGGTTCATTTTGCAACTAACTCACTGCCATTTGAAGACATACATTTAATTCTTTGGTAAGGTATGCATGTTAAATAACATCTGTAAAAGAGGTGTATTAAAAGTAGTTCTGCTATTGTACCTGGACCTCCACTCAGGAAAGAATACATGTTTGTCTGTGTGATTAAAGCTTTATTTTATAATCTACAATAAAGGTAATTAACAAACCCCCAGAAATCTGTATTTTATAGGTTTGTGTAAAAGTAGTACTGAAAGGAAGGTATTACTGTATTCTCATTTTGGATTGATCTGAAAATTGGCTATAGGCATAATACCCCAAAAAGCAAACAGCTGTGAAAGTTTAATAACATGGAACACTTACTTCTTGTAGGTTATTCCTCAGGATACTGCTGATACTCCACCAGAAGATGGTGTTTATATCCATGGATTATTTTTAGATGGAGCTCGCTGGGACAGGACCAAGTCAGTAATAAAGCATTTTACTATGGTTCTGGAAAGCTTTCATAGGTGCTCAAACAAGATTTGTTTAATATTTTAAGTGGTGTGTTTCCTATTATTGAAATAACACACTAAATGAAATGCTCTTTCATGCATGAAAAATAGGGAAGAAAAAACCCCAAACAAGCAAGCAACAACCAAAAAGCACACTCCAAACTCATCTGTGGTTTAACACCAAGCCATGAATGTTTACTTTATTACTTTCTCTCACCAGGGGAATGTTAGCTGAGCAGTATTCCAAATTGCTCTTTGATGCGATGCCGATCATTTGGATAAAGCCAAGTGAGTATAATTTCTCTGAAGCGTGAGCAATTCAGTAAGGAATTGCAACAGTGAATTCCTTTTTTGCAGATCAATGCTCCTGCCCTCACCAGAGTACCCAAATATGCACAGAAACAATGTGCATGTGACCTATGACTTTTACATCAGAAATTGGGTTTGACAGTTTGACTCAGTCTCGTCTCTTCTGAGCAACATCTGAGCCAGTCCCTGTCCCCACAGATGCTTACAGTTACCAATTAGACAGTTAAATGAATTTTTTATAAAGATGTTTACGTGCTGCCCAATCTGTTTTTCTGCCAGAAGTTAAGTTGGGTGGGAAGGCACATGGTGCTTGAATTCCTGGCTCAAGTGGAAGAGAACTGTAAACAGACTTACAGAGACTAAGTGTTTTACCTCACATGATTTAGCGAGGTTTGCTCAGGTTATTTTTAGCTGGCATGCTAGCTGTCTGTCATGCCAGTAAGATATTTTCCATACCTCTTGTTTTCTTTGATCGGAAGCAGTAAATACCTGTTTTTATTTATTCACTTCAGCAGGCATTTCTACTGCAACTTGCTACTCAGATGTTATTAGCTAACAGGTAGTCTTACAAAGTTTCCACTTTTTCTGCCTGTGCTTTTGCTTGAAGTTGGATGAATCTGTTCAGACATGAATGATTTTAGACTTTGCACAAGTTGCGTGTAAGCAGTCTAGGCATGCAAAGAGTTCCTGCAGAGTTTTGCCCTTGATCTCAGAGAGCCTTGAATTGCAATTAGGTTCTGTGGCTGCTGGACCAGAATTCTTGTGGAGCTGTTAAAAGCTCGTGTATGAGCTATGCTTTAACTATGTGACTGCTCAGATTTTAAAGTGCCTTTGAATAATTACAAAGCTGGTAGAATCACAAATCAGAATCACAAAAAGGCACAGGGCCTTGAAAACAAATTGTGGTTAGATTACTTGCATTTAGAAACAAATCACTCAAGAAAACACAGAAAAAAAGCCAGATAATTTTATTTGATTACTTACAGAACAGTTTTGCATTTTTATTTAGCTTTAAGGATGTTCCTGTAAATATGTAATCTTTGTATGTAGATTATGTTTCTATCAATAGATCTTCTGAATGTAATTTATTATTTTGGGGTTTTTTTGAAGCTGTAAAATCAGAAATAAAGAAATCTAATGCGTATGTTTGCCCACTCTACAAGACAAGTGAGCGCAAAGGAGTCTTATCTACTACTGGGCATTCTACTAACTTCGTCATTGCTTTGACACTTAACACGGATAAACCAGTACAACACTGGATCAAGCGAGGCGTTGCATTGCTCTGCCAGCTGGATGACTAACTTTGGACAGTTCAGATACGGACTTCACAAGACCCCGATCTTTTTGTTGGCTTACAGAGGAAGTGGAACATACTGTGTAAAAGAAACATCTTGAATTTTTTATGTTATAGGAGGGCATACAGATATTTTCTGATCCTCACTATTGTGCCTTAAATAAGTATGTTATTATTAGCATCTTTACAATGTATAAAAGATACAGCTAGGAATTTAGCATTTCGTAATCTTATTCATGTGTAAACATAATTTTATGCATTATTTCAATATCACAAAATACATCTTAATGGAAGATGAAACTGGTCTGCACTTTCAGAGAGAAACATTGTAGTTGATGAACTTGAAGCATTAAGAGCACTGCATTGTGTCAGTGGAAAGCTAGTAGGTAGTAAGTTTGGAGATTTCGATATGGATTTATATATATAGCCTATGTTCTGTCACAGCAACATTAAAGATTGCAGTATAAGAAATTGTTTTAACAATCTGTAGTAGGTGCTAAAATGTTACCTGTTTCCCTGTTGCTCCAGACAGGCAGTCCACTTTCTATTCCTTCACCGATTCTGCATTTTTGTTTCCTTTAAAATAAAAAAAAAATAAATAGAAAAAATACTCAAGCACTCTTCCTAGATCTCCTCTAGCAAAGAACTATTGCATACAGACACAGCCATCATTACTGCTATTGTAAGCATCCCTCCATAAAGTACCATAGCAGTGAATTAAGCATGAGAAAGCCTCACTCCATCCTACAGTCACTAGCTGACTAGGCATCTCTGCTTCACTTCCCTGTTTATTGTGTGTTACACTGGCATGAGTTTTCAGCATAGGTCTCTTTTTCTGAAACTGTGCTTTTCCCTTTAAGGACTCTATATTTATCTTTTGTTTGTCTTTCTATTTATATTAATATGTGAATTGATGTTAAGCAATCAGAAAAACATAGTAAGTTTTAATAGAGTTCTTGTTTGATTTTGCTTGTTTATGTTTACTTTTGTTGGGTTTAGTTTTTCTTTTTATGCTGTTTTACTGTTAGGACCTTACTTAAAAGAGCACCTACAGTTTACTCTCTTAGGAAAGCACTGAAGAATTTTCTTCCCCTAATGTAATAGCTACTACTTACGGTTCTCAAATTCTCATTCCAGAAACTTTTAACAGGAATATTTTTACAAAGAAACCAGACTTGTAATTCTTTGTTTTGCTGACACGATTTGTCAGGTCAGATTATTAAACATAACTAACTCATATGAAAGAAACATAGAGAAAGTCCCAGAGTATCTTATGATCGGGTATTTATAGTGAGCTATTAATGGACATTGGCTCTACTGAGATCATTTTCAGTCCTGAAAATATCACTTTCAACTTAATAATCACTTCGTCGAAGTGTAAGGTCTTTCCTCTTTCAGAAGGTGAGGAAAACCAGTATATTTTCTCAATTCATGGGAAAATTACCAGTCTTTTTACAAAAAAGTAGTCTAGATTTAAAATATTCATTTACTGATTGTACTGTAGGTATAATCAGATACTAACTGTTATTTGTCTGTACATTTCGTTAACAGATTTCTTTTTGCTACATGTGCAATTACAGAGCAAGGCCTTGCAGTGATATAGGTGCATCAGGTAACAGATTAAATAATGCAGGTTTGCTATGAATTACTGCTGCTCAATTTTAAGTTGTTTCTAGAATTATTCCAAACTTTTTAAGTGGCATGTTGGCAACTTCCTTCATTTTGCTGTGCTTATTCATTTTGCTAATCAATTTATTTGCTTTCAGTTTTACATATTCAGTTTATTTTACCTTTTCCCTATATTTTTTGTTGATATTTTCAGGCTAATTCTCTTGAAAAACAGAGGTGGAAGCTGTGTTAAGGTAAAACAGATGAGAGGTTTGAGTCCAACAGAACATCTGTGATTTTAATCTATGTATATGTATGTATGCATGTAGGTGAATATGCAAAAGAACAGTGTGACTGCTAATGCATAGAACAATGTACATCTACACACATGAAACTTTAATGATTTGATTTGATGGTAGTTTTTATGATTTCTTCTTAAGTTTTAACATTTAGACTTAACATATAGTATCAATTGGATTTATTTCTATGTTCCATTGTTCATTACAATGTTAAAAGGGTAAAAATATTTTAAATTGAACTCTTTCAATTTGACAAACTTTTTTTAACTAATGCTATTCTTAAGTTTTTGGTTTTGTTTTTTTTTAATTATTAATTCCCTTGTGGTTACACCAGTGTGTTTCATTTCTGCCTGTAGTTGGATATATACTGCTGCAGTATTTTATATATTTATCCCTTACAAATATCCCTATCAGCTGGGAGGCTGATGCACATAACACAAATCTGCAATACCTTCCTGACTGCAAGACACAGTCTTAACAATATCTGTATTGAAACAATTAGAACAAAAGTTATGATTTAAAATAATAACCTTTATTATTTTAAATGTGTGTCCTTTACTTGCCCTTCACTTCCAGGGCCTCTGTGAACAAAACGAAAAAACATCCCAAGTCTTATTGCATATTGTCGTGGTTTAAGCCCAGCCGGTAACTCAGAAGCACGCAGCTGCTTGCTCACTCCCCTCCTCTTTCCCCCGCGCACCCTGGTCCTTAGTTTTTCTACTAAGGAAACATCAGAGCACAATTGTGATGGTGTTTGAGTGTCTAAAGCATTTAAGAGAGAATGATTATTTATCTGGAAACTGAGTTTTACTTATTTTTGCTGCTTTCTAGTAAGTAATGCCAGAACAAGTAGCTATTCGGTATGTTCAGTCTGTGGAACAGAGGCAAAAACTAGCACATCCCATTGGAATAGAAAACCTTTATCTGTTATAAATAGAATAACTTTTTGCAGCACAAACGTAAATACTTGGGAGAAGGCTGGACCTTGAGAGGGAGAAGTTCCATTAATTTATTTTAAACTATGTTTCATTTCTCTTGATACTTAAACTGTGATTGCTATTTCTATTACTCCAGATTTCACTTGAAGATTTAACATCTGCTTCCAATTAAAAAGCAGTGTTTCCCTATGAAAAGTGATCCAGGTTGTGCATATTTGCCATGTATAATTCTATGTATATATTCGATGATGATTCTGAAGATGAAATCCCTACCCAACAAGCTATTCAGGAAAGCTTACAAGAGAGGCATAAAATTGAAGCAAGGGGCAGTGCAACAGAGGATGAAAGGTCGTAAGTTATTACTTCTATTTTGGGTGTTTTCTTGGCATTGTTATAAGCATGTAGCAACCTTATTTTCCTTTGTGACTCCATATGTTGTATTGCTCTGACCTTGTCTCATGGGTACTGGAGACCACTGGTAGCTCACTTGTTCTGAGTTCTCACTGAAAAACTATTCCCCTCTCCTCAAAAATATGGAATGTATGAAACTTTCAGTTGATGTTTTACATCAATATCAAAATGAGTATAAGCTTTATGAAGAAGTATGTGATATAGAAATACATTGGTATGGTACCTTTTCATTTTATGTTTTTAACTGTTGGCTTTTGTGTGAAAAATCCGATATAGTGGCAAGGGGAGACCAACAAAAAAAGTGTTTTAATACATTAAATCCTGAAAAAGCATATATAACTTACAGAAATCTAGCATGTAGTCTAGACTTGAGTATTTAAATTTAAGGTATGATTATATCCTGAATTCATGTTAATTTTTACTTGGGTTTTTTTTCTGTTTATGCAGTTTCCAGTGTGTTACAAGTAAAGAACATGGAAAGATAATTGCAGCAATTCAGGCAGTTAAGTATAAATACACCACACTAAGCCTATACCCCTAGGAATCACTTGAATATTGCATTGTTGGGATCAGTCTTATCCCTGTTAAATCAGCCTAACTTTACTTTTGGCTACATAAATAATTTTTCTATAGTTCTACTAGGGTACCTGTTTGTACATTAAACTTTTATGCATTATTGCTCATGAGAGAATTGTATTTAAACTATTTTAGTCATACTATTATAAGTAAGTTTTTTCAATGTATAACTCAAAACGCTTTGTGAGTCAATATCATTCATTGATTGTTCCATTCATTCAACCACCCTTGACAAAACAAGTTGTTTATTCTAGATACACTGATGGGATAGATGGCACTCAATATATTAGTTGCCTGAATTTTGTTTTATGATGAGTCATGGGATACGTGTCTGTTATAAAATATCACAGGCCAAGAAGAGGCCTTGATGAAGTTGGTGAGGCACAGTTCTGCTTTTGAAGAAGCAGATCAGCAAGGCTGGCTTCCAGTGCATGAAGCTGCAGCACAGCTAAATAAGAATATCCTTGAAATCACTTTTAAAGGTACAGAGCCCTTCTGGTTTCCCACCAAAAAGTTTTACAAAGTTGTGTTTGATGAGTCATCCAGCTTCAAATGTGTTCTACTTTTCTGTATTTCAGCCTCCTCTGCTGTTACATGGGAACAGACCACTGTAAAAGGGGAAACACCCCTACTGGTGGCAGTAAGAAATTGCCTTGTAGAAAATGTCCGTTTTCTCCTGCTCAGTGGCTGCAACCCCAATGTTAAGAATGAAGAGGGAGACTCTTCTTTAGTTATAGGTGAATACTCAATAAAGAAGGGGTGGAGAGGTGGGGGAATGAGGTGAGATTGTAGTTACACAATTTAGGTTTCAGTTTGACATATTTGACTTCAGATCAATATCTAAACTATTTTGCTATAAGGAGCAAAATATGTTAATCTCTGTATTGAATATGTCTGTCCCTGTCTCTTTCTTAGACAATACCAAGGCTTTAAATGAGATGACAGTTCCAAGTTAGGGGCTGTCATCACACAGTTCTTAGCATTATTTATTAGTTCAAGTATTATCCTTACTGGTCTACTGAAGTATAGGAAGCAGAGAAGCTAAAATCTTTCCTCAAAGTCTGTTCCACTGCAGGGAGCTCCAGATGCCTACCATTTTCTATCCCTCAGCTATAAAGAGTTTGAGGTTCAGGTTGAACAGCTTTTTCCTCAAAGAATCAAATAGCTTTCTCCAT